GAGAACTCAAGCCATCCTTAGTGACTGCTTTGACCACCATAGAGATTGAGAGATTAGAGAATTCAATAAGTCTAAAATTTATCGATTTCCAGAGCCATCATAGTAGGTAAGTTGCTAGTTGGATTCTAGCTTCAGCCACTTCTGAAGGATCTGTCAGAAGTACAAATTCCATCCCAATTGATTGGCCCAGTTTCCCCAAGTCTTCTTGCTCAAGTACAGTGGAAGAAAACATGCTCAACAATTTCAGGTTCTTCACCACACCCTTGATAGATTACATAAATATTCAACCCTCTTTTTGTCAATCCAGTTTCTTTTAATTTCTAGAGGTGCCAAACTTGTTACTTTCTTTATTAGCTTAAAATATATAAAAAAATTCAAGATAAAATTGACTCTAGTTGGCTTAAAGTTATCGGTTAAACTATCAGATCATTCAATTAACTGATAAATCGATATTAATTTACAAAATTTAATAATCATATTCAATATTTTAATCATATAAATATGTATCAAAATAAAAAAAATTAAAGACTATATATGTATATTTATACCTCAAAACCTTAAATCCTATCATAAATATTAATTAATAGCAAAGACACACACACACACATACACACACACACACACATATATATATATGCATAATTCTTAATTTTAGAATAAAAGTATTTTATATAATGACAGAGTACAATCCGAGTGATTTTCAACTGGGCGATGTTTCAGATTTTGATCGGGTTTGACCGACCTTTGTTATCTAGCCTGACTCACTTGATTGATCTCGGCCCACAGGGCTGGGTCAAAAAAATATGGGAAAACAAGAAATAATGTTATTGTTGAAATCCGAGTTGAACTATGGGCGATGACCTAAGGACGAAGAACGTCAGATAGACGCTTAACAATCAGAAGCCAGGTCGACATCTGGGTATCCGAAGATCCGAGCTCGACAAGAAATTGAGTTATCGGATATATGTGCAAAATGAATTCTCAGGTCGGCGTCGTAATCCCGTGAGAATGAGGTCGACCTTCATACATGCACAAGCTCGAAGAAGGCCGCTTGAAGATCAAAAGACGAAGATAGCTCATGTCACAGAGAAAGTCCGGCCAGAGGATTCGATAAGATCAGACCCCAACGCACTGTTTTGTAGTAATTTGTGGCATTGTTGATAACCGAGTATCCAACTCAAGTCATCTCTCATGAAATTAAAGATGAACCGATAAAAATGCAATACCCAGTTAATGATTTGTGAGTGTCCTTGCACGAGGCCAGTCCTTTGACGGATTTACTAAAGAAGGACAAATGTTGGGACCGGACGTTCAGTGATCGAGATTCTCCATTGCTCTTTTGAGTGGGTCGGGGGAGGCATAAATACCCTCTTTAACTTCTAATCTAACCGATTGAATACCTTTTCTAAGGAATTGGAGGAATATGCAAGGAAGACGGTTCAGAGCTTTGTTCGCTAATTAATTGCCCAAAACACAGAAAGATCAAACAAATTCCTAAACATTCTATTCAAGGTTGATGAGTTAATATTAAACTAATCAGACTAAGTAAATAGAGTAATGGATAGCAAGCACACAAAACGAGAGCTAAACGAGAAAGATGGGAATTTAAACTATCGGAGGCTTACTCGAAAAAAGTTGCAAACGAAGTAAAAGAAATATGCAAGCACTAAGCCCTGGGTGATTAATACTAGCTTTCTAAACCTAAATGATTAAGCTGTAATTAAAATATCAACCTTTACAATTAGATAAACAAGTAATTAACTACTCTAATAACTTAGGCAAACAATGAAAAACAAAAAGCTCCAAACTCTCGTTGGGAGGCGACTTTGTGATTTGCCAGATTAATTCCGATGATAATAAAGTCGTCGGGAGGCTCAAAATATATTGGAGCCTAAGATCTTTATGACCTTATAATCATACTTCGAATAATCTTAGTGGTGCCATCAAACAAAACTTATGAACTCTAAAGATGTATAAAATTCAATTTTTACTCTCCCTTTAGGACTAAAAAAATCAGCCAACATATATGCAAGAGATTTTGAGACATGGTGTATTTATAGACTACAATAGGGATTTAGGAGATGCTAAATATGAGCTTTTCAATCTAGGATTAGGAATTCTAAAACACCTGTAACTCCTTTCTCTTCTAGAAGCCCTAATTCCGTCTAACTTAATTACCTCTTCTAGAAGACTTTCAAGTCTTCCACCCTTAAATATTGTAGAAGAAATTATATACTTCTAATTAGGAAAATAATAGAAAATAAATTAATATTATTTTTCTAATTAAATAAATACTAAAACATTACACTTGAGTAATATTATTGCTCTATCGATTTAGCTCCAATTTATTCAATAAATTTGAATTTCATACTTAATTAATTAATATTAATTTAATTGATCGATTTACCATCCATTTGTTTAAGGTATAACGTTCATTGATTTATTAAAATTTGACAATAATCAACCATTTTTTTTTATCCCGCATGATCCGAAATTAATACTGCTCAGTACTTTAATCATTAAGTTGGAATTTAATCTGCTTGCAGGACTTACCATAATATTCAATCCTAAGCTCATTTCGGGGTCGTCATAAACCAGGCGGACAGAGACATAGTGGCCGTAAGTAATATTAACAGCAAATCATATAAAAAGTAATATTAACAGCAAATCATATAAACATTAGTATTTACCAAGTACCAAATATGTCATCCTAATAAAATAGGAATCACTCTTACTAAATCGAATAAACAAGTACTGAGTATATATGTCTGTTTATTATTTTACAGCTTAAGAGTACGCTTTAACTACTGAAGGGCTAGAGTATTTAGTCGGTCAGTATTTAAATAATTTTATCATTCTGCAGTCCAATCAAAGTACGCTTTAACTACTGAAGGGCTAGAGTATTTAGTCGGTCAGTATTTAAATAAT